CTTGTGGCCAGCCGCTAGCGCGTAAAGCACTTTAATGAAAGTTTCAGACTCTACCGCAGCCGCTAGCGTGTGGATTCACGAGCCTTCTTCCTCGCCTATTCATATCCTGCTCTCCAGTGTCCTGGTCATTTATCGCTGATCAGCCCGCAAACGGGGTTCAAGGATCATTCACCCATGGGACCTCACGATTCCCGGTGATTATCAGTCGTGGGTAGTCTTATGTGTAGCACAGATCAAATACGGTGCTCTAACCTTAACTATCCTAGAACTAGATATGGAGGTTGTTTCCATAATTGTTCCTCAGATTCTGACTAATTCGAGCTACGAATGGGTTGCAGTGGTTACCAGCAACCGAAATTGCCCCTTCATTCAAAGCATGGCGGAAACGGAGCGCCTGCTCCCCAAGCCACATCCGTCATTCATAAGGCAACCAAAAAGGTTTGTGCGGATTTTTTCTGATTGATTATTTCTATGCAGTGTATTTAAAAAAGCTAATTGTGGTAGGAGGGTATTGTGGTAGGAGGGTAACAGTGCATATGCTTTGAACCAAGTTTTATGCAGAATTATTCAATGCGTCCCATAAATTTAATTAGTGCGTTTTAGGTTTAAAGCGCGCTCCGCAAAACAGCGCACTGTACGTAGCTATGCCGGATCAGTACTCAGTGGTTTTTATGTTGTCGAGTTCGGTTTTACAATTAATCTTCACATCTCTTGGCGTTCCTAGGACCTCTGCAATAGGTATGACTATGTCGAATGAGATAATTCGCTCTTGTTTGCTTTACGAATTTGAACTTTGCACCAAAGCCCCTTTATCTTGAGTTTTGGAGCTTTTACTTTCAAGAAATCAAGCAACGAATCGAGCTGAAGGATCGAACGACTTTGTTTGCTCTTCCCCTAATTTATAGGTGAATTTTTCAAAAATCATGAGAGTAATCTTTATACGCTAAGCAAAATCGAAAACTGCCAGAGGTGAGACCCATTTTTGTTGAATATTGTAACTGGTGAGGTTGAAATTATGATATTTCCTTCTAATAGATTTAATTAGATTCTCCCATACCCAACAGCATTACTGTAGCATCTATTTTGTGCATTGTNGTGAGACCCATTTTTGTTGAATATTGTAACTGGTGAGGTTGAAATTATGATATTTCCTTCTAATAGATTTAATTATAATAGATTCTTCCATACCCAACAGCATTACTGTAGCATCTATTTTGTGCATTGTATTTATCACCATTCGCCACTCTTCAGATATACTGTATCCGGCAGAGCCATCAAAGACAACAATATCATCCATGATCAAGGTATGCATGTACTGAAGGAAGAGATTCCATAATGATCACACTCCAAACCTGCACAAGTACACAGGTTTCGGATATCGACGAGCTGAATTCTGATAGTGTCCGTAAAATCGGTTGTCCATGCTTGTAAGGTGACTTAAGCATTTTGATGACTATTTATCAAATCTTGCTTTGGACCTATTTTCCAAGTTATTTGTTTGTTTCAGGAAGCATAACGAAGATTCGGAGCATTTTGGGTTTGGTCGGCATCGATTTTGCGGAATGGCATATTCCTGCAACGTCGAAAATCCGGAGAAAACTTGATGGTTTGAGGCCGTTTCTTGCGTAATGTGTTGACGCATTTTTTCAGAATTTATGTAGTGCAAGGTATGGTTGAAAATACATTATTTTTAATTCACAATAATTAATCGTTTCACACATTCGGTATCTCATCACTGCGATTTATTCTTTCAACAACAGACGTTTTCAAGGCCTATGGGTTCTAGCAAATGTCATTTCTTTCCCATGCCTGGTGCGCAGTTGCCCTCCTTGAGAGTCTATTGCTGAGCAGCTGACGACCGAGACGCTCTTATTGGTGACGAGAACATCAAGAATCAGCCGATACAATCTTGTGATAAAGATGAAGGTGAGAAATTGGACGCCCAGCATCAAGTCGTGGCATGAAATCCTAGAGAGTAAACTATTTTTTCAACGTTTTTCATCACCATAGACTTCTTGTGAAAAGTGATGTTGCAAAGAAAAAATTTTCCACTAGAAACAGCTCAAAGTGGAATATAAAAATTCTCATTGAATGGTTTTTACTACAATTTTCGCTAGTGTTTTGCACTCCCCTTAAAAAACAGTTGTTTTTTGGCTTCGTGCCAGTCGAAGAGCTTCTGGAGCTAGCGAAATCTCGGAATCGATTTCAGAAAAATCATAAGAGACGTAATAAGATAAGAAAGCTGCTCAATCAATGTAGCTTAAAAGCGTGACGTAAAGCCCCGTTCCTTAGATAGGCTCATCCTTGTAGTTCTCTGCTGAGTGAAAGTCTTCATGGTGGAACGCAACTATGACTTCGTTCCTATGAAGACCACTTTGACTCCAGCGTCTACTTCCATGTGTCTGTGCCGTCTGCAAATCTTAGATCTTGCCAGTTTACGTCGGAGTTCGAAGAGTCTTAACGATTAGTTGGGACTGCTTGACTCAAAATTCATTGAAGTGCATGACTACCAGAAATTCTTTAACGAGTGCATAAGTGATTTGTAGTCGGATAGACTGTGAGTATCTGTTTCCTACTCTAATGGATATACAGAGGCTGTCTTATTCCGAGTTAACCGCATGTTTCTGAAGCACTTTCAAGAAGAAGTGAAGGATTGCGATCAATTTCTTGGCCCAATCGCATCAATTAAGGAATGGCTTGAACTCGAGGTTGAAATCGGTCTAGGCCCACCGACGCTGTGGATTAAATATTATCTCGTTGCTTTTTGGTGTTTGTTGACTATACCTTATGGGGAGTCTTTTCACCGCGACCATGTGAGACTTCAGAGTAATACTCCTTTGGAAAGTTGTGATGTGCTCAGTCGCGAATAAAAAGGCTAAAGAAAGTGATGGAACCTCAACATGGCTGTTTGATTTCGATTAAACATACTTTGTACTCTAAAATTTTCAGCAAAACTAACCACATTTTCTTAGCAGTAGTCACGATGTGTCCACCGTTGACAAAGGTGTTCCCATCGATAACACTCCGAGTCAACTCCAGTATTAGGGGAACGAAAGTGAGCATCGCACATAGGAGATATCTCAACTCGCCTTTACCAATACCCATAATCTAGAAATTGGGATCGGTATATACAAACAAGAATCTAATAAACACAATTGATGCTGTACGAAAGGTGATTGTCGTGGCTATCAAAGTCTCGAGCAAAGTTACTCCACGGATAAAGTGCGAGTAGACCACGGTGCGCTAATATTCGAATTGTGCGGAAGCCTCTGGAAGGCATGCAATGGCATGCTCGTTGGTGCCACGTGACAGTTCGTCATCGCACATCGCCTCGGTTGGTTGCACAACTCCGACATCTCCGCCACGTTGAAGCCACACGAGGAGCACCGCTACCGCTTATCGTCTACCATCTAATCCGCTGTTATTCACATAGGCCTGGATGCCTGGTCTCAGGTTACGCTTCATACGATGTAATCACAAGAGTTCGCATTGATGCAATAACCATAGTTTAGTTACTGTTTGGTTTTACCCTCTTGCTTTCTTTAGTTGCTTGTCTACAAGTAGCCTAACATGGTTGTCATGCCATACTAATCATTTAAACCTGTTTTCCGGTCACCTTATTATTTACCTTTGTATGCAGTTTTGGTAATTACCCTTTATTATACAGTGAGTTATCATATGAAGTATACTTAATATCAGTATATTCATTTTGCACATCAGTCCATCGCATCTATCGTTTCCTTCGTTCTTCCACTTCTCGTTGCAAATCCTCCAGCATTCATCTTCGCCGCTCCAGTCGAACGTCTGTCTGTTTGTTAGCTTCTTGTACCTTCGTCCCGTCCGTCGTCGCTCACCGTGACAGTCAGTTAGAGGGTTGTGAGGCCTTACTCGTACCCGCGTCGTGCTGAGGTAATAAACTTCCGAGCAATCGCAGGCGCACTCAACCGACCCTTCGGTGCTGTGACGATCGGGCTCCACCGCCGATGCAGTCTTCTAGCCTGAGGTCTCGCAGATCCACGACAGTGATGTTTCATTCAGTCAGCTTCCCTAGCTTTCCAGAGTCAATGAAAAATGACTATGTGTTGTGGCTTGCTTTTTTCTAGTTTTTCACCTGTTCTTGTTTATCTTCCTTGACAGCGATCCACTTTATACATAAACCTCTACAGCTATTGTTAATGATCCACCTTGATCGTGTATAATTGAGGTACGTGCTATTTTATTGCCGAGATAATGTGGTCACGCAGCACAATGTGTCGCGTAACACACTGCGATTCGAGACTCGAGCGCAATTCTCTTATAATCAAGGGTTGCTCTCACAGGGTTGGTGAATTATGTACAAAACCATGGTCTCGATTAGGATTCGAACCCGTTCTTGCGCTATTCGGGCACCGCTCTTATCCCATACCACCGAGATCCCGCTTGCTCTTGCCTTTTTAGTACCTTAAAAATTTTCGAGAGCATTTCGTTCTGATCGCGATTACACGTGTGTTGAAGATGGAAAACAATTCCGCGCATTAAAGGCGCAGGACATATTCAAGAATAAGCTCGCGTACAACCTAAAGTATTAAAGAGAACAAGATCTAAAGTAGCAGAGGGAACGTCAAGTTTCCCACTAAGATGACGTCGCTGCATGTTTACGACACGGTGTAAATCTCTATCGCAGTGGGTCGCGGATTGCGACTGCAGCGTGCCCCTGTTAGCTCGACGATAGAATTGTAGCACACCTCAAAAAGTGAATCATTGTGAATTAACTCAAAAACGGCCTACCCTTTTCTTCAACCTCGCTCTAAGAATCACATATCCGAGTGTGGCATACAAGAAGGTGCAGACCACTACAGCAAAAGCACAAAGCACTATGCCGGTGTAGGATAGTGTCTAGAAAACTAGCTAATTATTCATATCCACTTCAAGGAAAATGAAAACATTGTTGAGCGGATTCGCTCGAATAAGTGTTCACCTTAGTACCCCTATATATGTAATTGATTTCAATCGTTCCTTCACTAGAAAAGTAATATGACCCCGTGGGATCGCCAAGTATAATACCAGCTATCGTTAAACCGAATGCTATTGTCCAGTTCAGAAGACAGACCACAACAGCTGTTTTTGTTGACCATATCTGAATTTTGGTTTAGCTGCAAAGATTTTCTTCTTGCAAAACCAGAGGTTCCGGACGAATTCGTTACAACAAACTTTGAGAATAACCTTTCTTCGGCAAAGGAAATACAAGTGGAAATCAGAAAAGCTATCGTCATTGCTTACCTGGCGGTATCTCATAGGGAATATAATAGCTGTAAATCGGTTGATTGCCAGTGTGATAAACCCAAGAAAAGTACAACTTCTGAGTGACAATGTCAAACAAATGCTGGGTAAGGCTAAATATGATGGTGGAAGTTGTTGATAAAACGGTAGAAGGGAGTACTTCCTTGCTCGTACGATGACTTCGATACCGAGAAATAGGGCCACTTCGGCCAGCGACTGAAAATGTTGAAAGTTTGTGAAATTGTACACCACCGCTCGCTGTTGGTCTAATAAGAGGAGCGGTCTCGAATAACCACGACCTGCGGCAATGGTTCCGCGGCGGTTAAGGAGTTCTTCACTGAAACAATACCCGCAACCATCTAATAATTGCTCTAACTGACAGAGTTTCACAGTACGAAAAAGCCCTTCCAAAAGCTTCTTCCAGAAGTCAGCGACAAGATTCTTCGGTTATTGAATATAACCGACAGGGTCTTGCGAACAAAAAAGCTTTTTCTACAAAGAATTCTTTCGAAAGGATCTAGGGCGGTTTCTAGCAGAAGTGTGAGACAAGGTAGTCTCCAAGGAAACGGATTTGTTTCCTTAAAAGTGTCATTTTCCACGCTGGCTGTGATTACCCACTAAGATCTGTGCACTCTTCGTTCTGAAACCACAACACTCTCGAGGAATTTCTCATGTGCAGGTTTCTTATAGTGATCAAATAAAACTTATTCTCTAAGTGCACTTTCTGCACTTTTTGAAGTTAACAATGAAACTTACATTGAGCATAGCGACGTTCAAAAAACATTTTTGTCCCGGCGATATATGCTTCCTACGGAGGAACACTACAATGCATACCAACAAGTAAATAAAAAACGAAGACCAACTGAAGACCATCACAGGAATTTCCCATAATGGCATTGAAGCAGCCATCTCTGTAAAACAGCGAAATTTTGTCTTGATGTTCACGTTTACTGCTGTTACTTCGCCGTAGTAGGCGAAGCATAGTCTCAAGAAGTTTGCAAATTGTGGGCAAAACTTTGACCAGTCTCAAGAAGTTTGCAAATTGTGGGCAAAACTTTGACCTCGGTTGGAACTCGAACCCGCCCACGTGCTTCTGGCATCGCGCTCTTTGCCCCTTATGTACAATACCGAGACTCGCTTGCCCTCTACAAATCAGGTGTAAATCTTGTAGTAGGCTCTTGCCCTGCCCTAGTAGTAACCTGCAACACACCGGGATAGCAAAGAGTGAGCTGTTACTTGTCATAAACTGGCTCCAGCAGAACATCCGATCATCTACCTCATTGTGACGTGACAGGTGGCATAACCCCGTTCTTATGGGAAATCGGCATAATTCAAAACTGGGTGCTTTCAGAGTTAACCAACTGTCGACACGTTGACCGACGACTGCGGCGTTGCCAGCCACGTGTTGGCACCTCAGAATAGAATGCTTTCAGAGCGGTAGCGTTATCGAACTCACTGAAAGACTCCATGCTCGACTCTCAGTGAATCTTGGCATGGCTTTGAATTTGTTTTAGAGGACTGGCACTATTCAACCTTTACTGCCCCTTTGTCATTAATGGGCTGGATTTCTATCGAATTTTTTTTCAAAAAGAGACCGACTAGAAACTTCCCTAGAGGGGTAGTTTGACCCGTAGAACACGAATATCGCATCCATTCGTCATGAAGATGTCTGGCGCTCCGCTACGCTTTTTCTGCTCGACATTCCCATGGGACGTTGCTGGAGTGCGCGCCAAAATCGAGGCGTGTTTAGGCGCTAAAACTAAATGATGTGTTGCCAGCCTCATGAATTTGCCATTTCGAGTCGGGTTCATCTTCTTGAAAAAAATCAATAGAAATCCAGCCCATACTCGACAAAGCGGAGCAGTGATGGGTAAATAGAGCCTTCCGTAACTAGAAAAAAATGATGCCTTAAGGGTTAACGCTAAGAAGAAATTATCGCAAAATAGTCTTTCATAAATGCTTATCATTGTACCGATGACCTTTCTCAAATGGCAGCTTTTCTACGCATTTACACTTGAGGACCTCTGAACGATCTTTTTCCGAGAATGAAACAAAAATATCGAAGACCGCTAAACAGAAAAACATACTGAAGCTCAGCTCATTAGTAAAAAGAAGTTGCTGTCCCTAACCGAAGCAATGATTGGACGTTACATCAGTAATGACTCTTGAGACTGTCAGACACTCAAACTAACAATCAAAACAGACGAAGATCTATCTAATTACGTTCACAAGTCACAATTTGCAAACACTTCAGGGAAAACCAGCGCGTTAGCTGCTTATATGTCGAAGAAATTTTAGCTTTGGTGGTCAGAAATAATTGTATGCTTCCCACTGTCTGAACGAAAATCAGTGAATATGACGTTTCGTGCTTTTTGTTGACAGAGGATGAACATGGAGGTGGAACATCTCGAACAAAAAAGTGTAGATGGTAGAGATCTTACAATTTCAAATGATTATCACATGGCTGAAGAACGAATAGTCGAGATTCAACTTGGAAGCCGAATTTGGTATACGAGATTTGCCCTTGAGGACGGCTATACTGGGCTATCTTTATTTCAGCCTCGGTGAGGGTTTGGAAGTATCCCAAAACTTTGTGTATGCTAAAAAAAATTTTCAATTTTGAGTTTTTTGATTAACATGCTACTTTGGAAGAAGTCGTGATTATGATCGATATTAATCGCTCTTGGATCTTTGACATTTGTGCTGCCCTAAGGGAAATTTGTTTCACCAATTCAATGTAGCTGAATTAAATAGTTTTTCTTTTTTCTGTTTTTTTTTTCATACCAACTAAGGATCCTGCTAGTATTGCTCAATAACTGTTGCCTGTGCTTCCCACAGCTGTTCTCATTCACTACGCTCTATCGTTTTCATAAAGCATTTTCGGATATCACCAGAAACAGATGTTAATACTTGCAGACAATTTTAATTGTTTTCTTTATTGTTGGCGGAGGTGGCGTAGTGGCAAGTAGCACACTATCACCCACACATGATCATGGGTTCGAAACTGGGAAAGATATCGTTCCAAGCCAGCCAAGGCTACCATTACTTCGGGGTCGGTCAACCGATACCAGACTCGTGTGGGAGGGTGAAAGCATTGACTTGTACTTGTACTTGTACGCTGCAATACGATTTTGAATGGAATTCGAATGCGCATCGCATCCCAAAGAAGGGGTCGACTGATGCTCGTGGACTCTGTAATCATTATTTACTGACGTTTTACTCACATTGATCTTTATCATGACATAGATATATGCAGAAACTTTTTATTCAAAGCATAAACGTAACAAGATCACTTCCATTGTTTCTGGATGACAGAGGAGTAGTTGATCCAGCCATCTTTTCCAATCGTTTTTATCTTAAAAATAGATTTTTAGTTTTTATAATAAGAGATTGAATAGATCAGTTTTTGTACACTCACATTTACATTATCTTTGATATCCTTGATGCGCCTTCGTTTGGCTTTCATTAAGTAGACTGTCGATAATACTGGTAGAACCAGTGTGTAGTAATTGAAAAGCTAAAAACAAAGAGTATTCCAACTAAAACCTTTCTCAGACCCTCTTTGAAACGTCTTCCCACCACTGCTAGAAGAAAAGAAAGAAAAAAATTTCAAGGGCAGTTTTTTTCGCAACTATTTTGAGAGCAAGTGGAGGCTGTCAAGTCGCCTTTCTGTGCCATTTATACAACAACACTTTGATACGAACGAGAGTTGAATATTTGGCGCAACTCATTGAGTCTCAATCATGCAATATCAGTCAATACTATATCTTTTACTATGGAATCTTCGTTAGTAAACAAATAAGTAGGTGATTGATGCGGACCAGGGGATCTGCTGGAGCCGATTNTCGTAGGGAAGGAGCACAGCGGTGGGCAAGTTTTCTTTCTTTTTTTTTCTTTTTTTTGCAGGAGGTAATCATCCCAGCCACGCAGGTGCTCCTACCCTACCTAGGCTTATTGGGTAAACTAAATTTCCTTAGCGGAAACCGCATAAAAGAGCTAAGCTGGTCGATTCCCATCATGCTCTACGCATCCGATACAGTGCTGATATAACAAGGGCTTACACGTTAGACTGAGTTCATTTCTTGATATACCGACCTTCGGATGGGTGGCCCCCCCAACTACATTTTCACCGTCAATACTATATCTTTTACTATGGAATCTTCGTTAGTAAACAAATAAGTAGGTGATTGATGCGGACCAGGGGATCTGCTGGAGCCGATTATAACCATGATTGAGGATTTCTACTTGAATGCGATATCGAATCAGAGCAGAAAAGGGTGATAGGCATCGGAGCTGGCACCCATTCGCATTCGTCATTCGGATATTTATATTTTTATACAACTGAATTCCGAGGTAAATTGTGCTCTCGCCGTTCTAGCTGCAGAGGTTGATTCCCGTCATTTTCAAACGCACAGGGATCCTGTCCCGAGTCAGCGACACCTTGACGGTCACCGTTGTCGGTAGAGACTAGTTGACCACCCACTATTCTTCATACCTGTCCTGCCGCCCACATTTTTCACCGATTTCGAAACCTTTCATTAGTGGTCCGTCAGATTAGTTTACAGAGAGACTCAAGACAGAGAACCCTCTTTCATTCTTCTTCCTTCAGATTCAGAATACCGTTTCTCTCTCTTCATGGATCCTTGTACCTTTCGGGTTTGGCACCGTCGTCCAGTACGCACCCATCCGAGTGAGCTGGAACTCTGGGTACTTCTTATTCTGACCAAACACCTTCAATCTAGCGTGGGCGTCAATGAAGTATTAATTATGACCTCCTAATATGCTACTATTTCAGATAGAATCACAAATATATCCAGAAAATGTAACTCACATCCATATTTTCCTTAAACGCCATAGTCAGCTTATTGGTAGAATGGTAAACCCTTATGTATAGAGCGCCAATTTGCGAAAGAAAAACTGCAATGAATTGTAGTGTAGTGATCCAGAATAGTAAGTTGGTCGTGATTGTGTTCTCTTTTGATTGGAACTTCAATGACAGCGGCATCCTAAAGTAATGAAGAGGTTGAAGGGGACTTGAGAAAAACGAGATGCTCTCACATCCCGAGCACATTACTATTGTTCTTTTTCCCCACAAAGCGGACAGTTCCTATACACTTGCCAAGCTGTCCCCACGGAGAGGGTAGCTGTCCTGGCATACCATGGCGAAACTTTCATTGGGGGAAGATTTAGTCATCGAATCCTGCATTTGGGCGTTCATACGTATTCGGATAATAATATCGGGTTCGGATGCCATGGTTAACTTTGGGAAAAGTTGATATTTATGATACTCTAACGTCATGAGCTTCGAGAAGAAGATTCTCGTCCAACTCTCATTTCCCCACCCCGCCCCCCTCCGTTCCATTATGTTTCCCAACATACAAAAATCAAGAACGCTCTTAAAAAATGCAAAATTTCAGGTGTAAGGGGGGTCATATAATCGGGAGAAGGAGCTCCTACTGTAATGGGCTGCATAAAATTCACAAATGACCTACTTCTGACTAGATCAGTTACTCTTACCTCTACTTCAACTTAGCTGGAGTTAATTGTTCATAGTAGTCAGACAGTTTCAAACACTTTCTGAAGGTACTTACAGTATTGGCCGTCTTGGCCTGAACAGTCGTAAAGCAATTGTGAATGAACAGCCGATGAAATTAAGAATTAACAGCAAGGTAAGCACTATATTTCCATAGAAATATCTGGTACTTGTAAGCATACGACCATTAATCTGAGGCTCATCGAAGTTCTCACCGTAATATAAAAAAACAAGCGTAGATATTGAAATTAGAATCTGAATAATTACCGTATCCTTTCAAATCTTCACATGAAGCTGTGAATTATCCATACTTACGGCTATTGCGAGTAATCCTGGCCCAAGCTTCTTATAACGATGCTCATAGCTCTGAATATATACAACTGCAAACCATCTTTCAATCACTATAGACACAAGGATGAATTGGGATGATATCCAAATAAATGACGATGTAATATTCATCGCCATATATAGGAATTTCGGTAGAAAAATCTGACATGGTGTCGTGTACAGAAAGGATATCGACAAATGATGAATCTGAAAACTTCTGCTGCTTTTAAATTGAGGTTTTTCTGACACAATTTTCGAAAAATGTTCTTCTAGAAATTTGTTGCTACTAATGCCACATATATGGTAATTAAGTTGCCCTAATCCGAGTCCTTCGTTTTGCTAGAACGGACCCACTCATTTCCTGCACTCATTCATCAAAAAAGGTTTTGGATGATTGCGAGGGGCTGGAAGCCCATACTTTTTAGTCACCTTCAATCGGACGTTCAGCTTAGACAATAGCAAATCCAACCGCCAATCGTACCGATCACGCTCTCTTCAACTTTTTCACCAGTTTTCAGATTTTCAACATTTTTTTGCTACTTTACTAACTTTAGCTTTTTTGCTACATCAATCAACATTCCCAAACTACTCTACCAACGTTCCACCAAAGACGATCTTTTCCACCAATTGTAAGCCTTTCCATCGACTTCCTAGCACTGCCTATTCCTACTGTGCAGTTAAGGTCCAGACCATTCGCTCCCTTTGACACTTTGTGGTACTGTAGCGTCACCGCGAGATCGCACGCGAAGGGGACCGTTGACCTAGCTTGGACGGACCGGACACGCGGAACGGACGTTCCCCATAAATCCTCCTCGATTGGGATGAATATTACCTTTTAGGCACTCAGTTTATATTTATACACCATCGTAGAAGGTTTTCATCTACAAAAGAGGGGATAGTTTTCCGTGCAAACAACTTTACTTTTGCTTTCTATCAAGTTTTGTGTTCTTCAAATGTTTTTAGTGCCTCCTAGCTACTGTAGCTTATTTCGAGAAAATAACGTAGCCTGAAGGCATTTCTCTAAATACAATCAAAAGTTACCACATTGTATCCAATAACAAGAATCATCCGGAAACTAGCCTTCATTCCAATGTTCCAGAAGTCGTAAGCAAGACAGCATATGCACAATGAGAGAAACAAAACCTGCAATCTGGAATTTCAGTCCCTAGCACTTTCTGCTGTAAACTGGAATTTTTTNATTTCGAGAAAATAACGTAGCCTGAAGGCATTTCTCTAAATACAATCAAAAGTTACCACATTGTATCCAATAACAAGAATCATATTTATAGTGTGTATCTGATGAAAATATCAACAAAATATTTCCGGAAACTAACCTTCATTCCAATGTTCCAGAAGTCGTAAGCAAGACAGCATATGCACAATGAGAGAAACAGAACCTGCAATCTGGAGTTTCAGTCCCTAGCACTTTCTGCTGTAAACTGGAATTTTTTTCAAATGGTGGTGAGGAAAGATAAGGTGCACGTAGATGGGATGGTACGCAGTTCCTCGAAGAAACAGTAATCCAGTAAACGTTTCGAAGATAGGACCCAAGCTTATCAGTGAAAGGAGAAACCAACTTGATTTCATCCCGAAGCACGCAAGCACATGGCCACTCTAAATTCCGTTGGGCATTTATGTAGCTCACAAAGTCCACAGAACTCGTCCGAAATTGCTTTTTTTTTNTTTTTTTTTGTTTTCCGTTTTCTGAGGTTGGAAGATTGCTCAACTGGAGGAATTCAATGTGTGAAGTACCGAACCCCGTCTATTTCAATGTTCCCTGGCTTCTTTGCACACCGCAATTCATTTTGACTTATCCAAGTCATCTATCCAACCTATCCAACAGGCTGAGAAACAAGAACCCGGGCTCAACCGTCGTGGATGCAAAAGCTGTACCCGTTCGTTGCCCTTGTTTATGTCTTGGGACAAGTTATAATGTAATTCGACCTCTCTCGTCTAGCCAGCTCTGGGTATATATCCCTTACAAGTGGGCATTCCGTTCATGTGCAGTAAAAGTAATTATATAGTAGTGATCATCATGATTGGTAACTTGATGATACGGCAGTTCAAGAGAAAATACAAACCCTCAAGTTACTATGGAAAATCAAGCTGCTCCGACACTGTCCATGAAGGAAGCATATCATACCGATTACTGATAAAATCGATGTAATGCACGAAACAGAGAGAGTAACACGATAATAGAGAGCAGTGGCAACAAGGACACCTCGCTGAAATGCTCTGATATACTTAAGATCCTATTCCTAGAGAGGTAATATCTCGGGACAGCTGAGCTATACAGTTTATTCCACTCTAAGATTTTTGAGGCCCAAAATCTTTGAGCGCTGATGAATCCCTTCTGATGTGCCCCCACACTTGGCTTCCTCTCAGAATCCTAGTGGCGTAATGAATAAGTAGGTTGCCTATACAATGACTTGTGACCAGACATTGTTTAACTCAGTGCTTTTTCCTCCTAGACGTGTCCGCTATCAATAAAACGATCCCGAGAGTATGAAAACTTGGGCAAGGCGGGTATTCACGGATCGATTCCCGCCCTGTGGTTTACCACTCGCTACTACTGCCCTTTTTCTGGAGTTTATTGACTTTTCGAGCAGAAAATTTAAGCAAAAGGCCTTTATAATCTGAAACTTCGACTTTATTTAGCATACTCTTTTTTTCACGGAAAAGTGAAAGTTTTACACTTATACCTGAATGCAGTACTGCTCTATTTCATCCTGCTGTACTTGTTCCGTAACACTCATACCCAGTGATCCTTTGGTTCGGGTGGCTCCTAAAACACCTAATGTTGCTGATTTTTATGACCAATCGTTTCCTATTCTAGAGTGGAATGAAACGTTCGCAGATATTGCTGAGTACCTACAGTAACAATGTCGCGAGAGTCCACATAAGAACGACCATTAATTAACTCGTTTATATTACATATTTCAATTACATGGTGCATTAAGTTCAACTTGAGATTTACATGGCTCCTATTTCACATTATATGAACAGTTTTTGAGTACAGCTCAAAGGGTTTTCCATGGACTCCTTGGTCGACCATAGGTACAATAATCATGAGCTACATTCAGAGCTGAAAGCGTCTCCCTAAAACTTTTCCCTTTATCTCCTTGACCAACGAATTATTCTCAGTAGGATGGCATGAATCCAAGATATCACACTTGAGAGCCATACTTCTTCGACTTTCTAAAACTTTAAGATATTTTCGCATGATCTGATTTTTTTATTTATTTGGTGCACGCTTAGGTGCGCTAACTACAATTCCATGATCACATCGATTCAACAACTACAGTCAAATAAAAGTAAAGCGTGGTTCAAAACAGATGGTAGAGAGATCGCCAGTCAGGTGTGTAAACAAGAAAGGACCGAAGTAGAAAGGTGCTACAGGAAGGTTAGATAAGTACTAAGAGCTGTATGATGGTTAAAAAGCATTTACGATTTACAGTCGCATAGGATTGTAGTTTCAAGATCAAGTTTCAGAATTTAGACTTTAAAAAAGAATTTCCATAAGTCACTTGAAGCCAAAGCATTTACATACACTAAACGCTAGATATTCGCAGCATTTTGATAGGCCTATCCGCATAACTGTGAAAACCTTTAGATATCCGCAGAATTTTTATAGATCCTTTTTAGTGAAATATCGAGACTACAAGCTCTAGCTTGGAGTGGCTGCTGAGGTGCGCAGTCCGCTGCTTTAAAGCCGAAACTTTACTTGCTAATAAAGCTGTTATCAATCTAAGAGGCTAGGCTAAATCCACAACGGATATTACTTGATCCATGTCGAAGTGAAGAGTAAGTCATGAAATGGTGTAGACAGCCACTTCTGTGATACAGTAATCTACCACAGAGGAAGTCAGTGGGTAAAGCTAAGGACGTTGAACAAATGAGAATGTATGGGGCATAGTTGGATCGTGCTGCCTAGGTTACTGTGACGAAAATTGTGAACTTAGTAATTTACTTGTATTTATAAAAAATTAAATCATTCTTGAAAAGGCTCATAAAGTTCCATTATCTGATAAGATATGATATTTTGAGAAATGTCAAACACTGCGATTTCATTTATAAGTTAAATTTAAAGGAGTTGTCATGGAAAATAAAATTGTATTGTAACCCGTCAGAAAAGACGTCGTGGTTAGAAAGTTCATCTAATAATAAAAGAGCATGATGTATTGAAGCAGTTGCCTATCGCCATGCAATGAGGAAGTATAAACACCAAGCTGCATGGATCACTAGATAGGATATATATCATTGGGTCAGGATCAAACCGTCAAGTGCTAGACGAGA